TGTAGCGCCGCCGCCGGACGCGAGGGGCGCAACGCCACGGGAGGGGGGGGTCCTCTGGCCACGCCCCCTCGGGGGGCAGCCAGGGCCGCGCATGCGCAGAGCGCCCCCAGCTGGAGACACACACCACTCCCCCCCCCAGGTTTTGGGGTGAATCAGCCTGGTTTTGGGGTCTCGCCGGAAAAACACTTAAGAACCAGCGCAGGCGTTTGTTGAATCACGTGCAAAACCTTTCTTTTTGACTCGTTTTTCACCCGCAGAAAGTTGAAATGTTTTTTCCCCCCTCCGTTCCAGCTGCCGCGGTGTTTAATTTGGCTAAATCGATGTTGCACACCAGCATCAAATCCTTAAATAGCTCTAGATTAACAATAAACTTATAATTAGGCTAATGGTTAAAGGGCAGTTCTAAAAGCGACTAGCCAATCAACAAGAAACAAGTTAATGAGCAAACCTCATCTTTCTACATAGCACATATAACGTTTAAATCATTTCGCTACGCAGCTTCCACTGCCATTTTAAGGTATTTCTATCAGCACAGAGTAAATCAGAGGCACCACACAATGGGCTTCAGCATCACTAAAATACAATGTTTGTGGTGCCTCTTCAAAAACCAGTATTACCCTCCAGTTGCCATCGTTCTTAAAAAAACAAGTTACACTTCAAACGATGTACATTTCATCACGTTTTGACCCGACAGCACATTGAGTTCTCCAGCAGCCCTCCCAGAGCCCACCTGTACGCTGAAATACACTGACAACTCTCTGTGATGAACCAATCTTAGGAAAAAAAATAGGACATTTTCATAGATACTCAAACGCCACAGGAGATACAGGGAAAGATGATTTGCTTCCCCAATTAGATGTAGATGCAACTCATTAACCAAACAAGTACCTTCCCACTCCTAACCCAAGTACAGAGGGTGAAGTTCCTTTTCCACCTGCCTGGATACAAGTTAAGTGTGTTTCCTACAGCCCAGGGCCACCTTCCAGCTGGGTCTGATTTCTCTCAATCTCTGCTGGGGATGAAGTTTCACATTTTACATTCACTGGAGCAGGAGTCAGAGCCCAGGTTTCCTTCCACTTCAATGAGGACCTTAATCAGCCAGCTACAGTTACCAAGTGATTTACATAAACCCCATCCACTTCAACAAACATAACACCAAGAACAACCTCAATGATTTATAATCAATAACATTATTGATTTA